AGTGTTTCCTTCATGCATTCTTGATTAAATCTCTTATTCTTGCATGTATCTTGTATGACACATACATTTATATTTATATTTAAACTCCTCAGTTCTAGTACTGTTTTTCATGTCCACACTTAAATTATTCCATAATTTGACCCCACTTATAGAAATACAAAATCTTTTTTGGTTGTACGTATAGCATGAACTTTTAGATTCAATTGACCCCTTAAATTGTATCCCCCTTCCTTTTCATCAAATAAATTTTGGATTCGACCAGGTAATAAATTGTTCCTGGCTTTATACATAAACACCACGGTCTTATATTCCACTAAATCAAAGAATTTTAACAATTTAGACTGTATGAAAGCTCCATTGGTGTGATCCCTGTACCCCATCTTATGCACAATTCTTATCACTCTTTTTTGTAGTATGTACAATGGTTGAAGTGAGCTTTTGTATGTGTTTCCCCAGTTTTCAACGCCATACTCCAAATATTTTAATATCAATGCAGAATACAAAGTGCGAAGTGCTCTCACGTCCAGCATATATCTAACCCTTGCCAACATCGATATATTTTTAGCTATTTTATGCTGAATATGTCTGATATGAGATTTCCAGGATAATCTGTCATCAACCATGACACGCAGAAATTTGATTTCATATACTCGTTCGATGTTAGCACCCCCAATTTTCAATTGAAGTTGGAATAAACCTCAGGAAGAACAACAGAGAAGGAATCCCTCTTCCAGGACAGACTGAGGTGCAGCATATGTTGTGTGCACAGGAAAAATCAACATGATATATTTACAGTATGGACAATCAGAATAACAAAATTAGTTTATTGTAAACATATGAAGAACATTGTATAAACATACTGTGTGAAGAGCATGAGCCTAGAGGATGGGTCAACTTCATCTGCTTCTAGAAAACTAAAATCTACACAAATGCTCTAAACTGGAAAAAAAGAAAATTTGTTCTCATCCATGCCTGTGGTCCATGTTTGTCCTAACAGTGTCCACCCGGTGGCGCTGTTGTCCTGCTGTTAAACTACTCACCACAGGAGGGTCTTAGTGCAGAAGGTGTTTACACATGCTCAGGTTCCTGTAGGTTTAAGTTAATACACAAATGACACCAAAGATGGTAAGCACTGAGTCTTATTGCTCCTCTACTGTTGGTTCTGCAGAGGGTGCAGGGTGGTCATGTTTACAGTTACTCCAGAGAAATCCCCTTGGTTCAGTATTAAGCTTAAATAACTATTGACATTTGATTGTGTCATAATTTAATTTTGACAAGTCTCTTTAATCTTGTGATAAAGTGCAGATACATCCATTTTATAGTATTTCTTCAGATTAGGTTATATGTCAGTTGCTTTAAATACAGGTTTTTGTGATAACATTTATTATTTTGTTAGTTTAATTAAAAAATTCCACAAATTATGTATTCCAATCCAGAAATGCCAAAGAAGAGAAATCTCTATCCACAGCTGAAGAACAAGACTGAGCTGTGGCGCTCATGCTTTTAGTATAAAAACCTATTTTGAATCAAAAGCCCTTAGAAAACCAGATGCTTTCCTGTGGCTTTAACAGCTTTCTGTTGTATTCACAAGGTAAACATAACAGCTTCTCTCAAGGAACATTTGAAAATGTCAGAGCTATTATTCTCTGTTCTTTTAAGCCATGTGATAGACATTTTGTGTCCTGCTCTTGGCTAGCTTAGCTAACAGCTTTCTACTGAACTACTGCATGTGTTTGTTCCTCTAAACATGTGAGTTATTTTATTAACTGTGCATGTGCAGTGACATCTCAATACACACAAGTTTCAGAACATGAACATACAGATCCCACTAATGAAAAGCAGAATCATAATAATTCAGTTCACAATCCTATGCAAAAAATATGCACAAGCAAACCTGTGTCTACTGTTTGTAGTCAGTTTTGGCTCCTATATTTAGAGAAGAGATGCTCTTCTCACTTCTCATTTATTGGTGCATGCTCTGATTTTGTCCTTTCAGCTCCCTGCTTCGTTATGGAGGCAGCATGTCTTTGCAGAGTGCCATGAGTGTTCGCTTCAACAGCACTGGCACACAGCTGCTGGCGCTGCGTCGCCGCCTGCCGCCCGTCCTCTATGAGCTGCACTCCCGCCTGCCCAGCTTCCAGTTTGACAACCAGGGTTACTTCAACTCCTGCACCATGAAAAGCTGCTGCTTCGCTGGAGACAAAGATCAGGTTGGTCATCGTGCATGTAAAACTGCTGCTGCTACCACTGTTACTTGTATTAGAGATGATAGAAACTTGGTTACCAAGGTAAAAACATGGTATAAAATATAGGCTTGTGTAAAATCAGAGCAGTCCAGCAGAATCTAAAGGCATTCATTTTATATTCTAGTCAGGATCCCAATATGAGTTTCAGTCTTATAAACGGGGAACTGTAGAGCATGTGTGAAATATTATACAAGACATCTGCAGTATTTCACTTCATGTACATGTGCAGTCTTAACAGCAGTGCTTGGGTATAATGTATTGCACCCAGGAGTATGCTTTACCTTCTGACAGAGCAAGCACACACAGAATAGAGAAGTGATGTCAAACAGTAGAGTTATTGTTTTATTTGTCTGTGTGGTTATCTAAAATGAAATGTAAGAAGAAAACTGGCCACATGTAGGATCAATAGAAAGAGTAAATTAGTTCCTTCTGTGAAACTGGGACGAAGTGTTGGAGGAACACCAGAAGCTGCTGTGCTCAGCCAACGGGCCTCCCGTTGGTCCCGCTCAGACATGACATCACCCAGCAGTCATGTTTATTATGTTAACATTATCCTCGGGTGTCCGGGGAGCTCATGAAGGCTTAAAAATGATCCTCTCCTACAAGAGTGAAGAAGAAGGTTTTAAAGCTATGGAATCTACAAGGAGGTTTCTGGGTGGATCTGTTTACCTGCTACCAATAGTATTTGCTTCTTCACCACCAAGGCATTCTGGACATGTTTAAGGCCAAATGTATGGTGTAACCAAAACTTCTACAGCACTGGGAGACATTAAAATGTAATAGTTACAGGTAAATAAAGCTCTTAGCTATCCATTCTTGCACAGTTCATATCCAGGTTACAGTGGGAGGTTGGTTTCACACACTTGTAGGCCAAATCAAAAACTAAGCATTCAGGATCAGTGCTGCATTTTATTCTTTGGCCGCTGTAGTGAGTGACTGCAGGGGGCGCTGTCACGTGGTTTTGCTTCTGCTCATCTGTACCTAGGAAATTTAAAAAAATGCTGGATCCAGTAATTACCAGGTACCTGACATTTCCTCTTAGTTCTTTAAAGACTGAACAATCCCAAAAACATCTATCAGGTGTCAACAGAAGCACATTAAAATGAAGCTCGCGATTTCTGACAGGACATTAAAAACTGCAGCCTTTCTGGTTCATTTTAGCCTTTTTTTAACTTGTTGCTTTAGGATGTGTGTTAAAGGAGTGAAGAACACCCCCCACTTGTACTCAGTCAAAACTTACCTTAAGCGATAGGTTTAAGTGGAACCATATGTTTACACAGTCTAATAACCGTTCAGGCGGGGAGCAGGAGCTCTGTCAGGGTCAGACGCTCAAGTCAGGAGCCTGTTTGCTCACACATTATGCAAAGCACTCTGATAAGATCTAGTGGCTTTGTGCCATATGAAAGTTTTATCATAGAAAATCAAGCAGACTTAACCTCTAAACATCCCTCTGTTTTCTCCCTCAGTACATCTTGTCTGGGTCGGATGACTTCAACCTCTACATGTGGAAAATCCCAAAGGACCCAGAAGCAGGTGAGTTACTGAGTCTGTCTGCACTGGCTGCATATTTATGTGGATGTACACTCATGTGTAGGCCTTGATTCCCTGTCATTTTTGTGTGTCTGTAATATATCCTTCTGTCTACTCTGCACTATAGTGGAGCACTTTACATAGTTTCATTCTTGTGTTTGCTTTGTGTAAAAGGAACTTGTTTGTAGGACAAAGTTTTGGTGACGTATTGTTCTCCAGGATTAAAGATTTCATTAGCATCAGGCTAAACAAACCTGACCCCGGCGGTTGCAGGTTTGGCCACAGTCGTAAACATAATGTCCCCTCTGTGCTTTTTACCCAAGAGCCTCGGCCCAGTCTGAGGTTTGCCCTCAGCTAATTTGGTCACAGTATATTTTCCATGCATGAGTAACTATCCTATATAACATTGGTCTGTTTATACAGTCGTCTGTTTTAAAGAGGTTTAGGATGAGTTCATATCAAACTGCACCACGTGTTTCAACCTGGTCGGACCAACTACAAAACCGGGGTAAATGCTGAAAAGTTAGAAGTAGCTGCTCCACATATTCTCACTGTGAACACAGCTCTAATTACTCTGGGAAGAAAATCCCCAAAGTGCAGCAGTCCAAGAATGTGGGTCTGTGGCACCACCTGACACATTTATGGATCTTATTTTCCCTGGAGTTGCTTAAACTGAAAATATGTGCCCTGGGCTGATGTCAGACCGTATTATTAGGATTTCACTGCTGCTGTGCAGGAAGGTTTAGAATCAGGTTCAATGACTGTGGCTGTTTGTGTTGCTGAATCAGTTTGTCTTAATGAATCCCTGTCATCGTCCTCCATCTCTGTGGTCCTGACCTCATGCGTTTTGTCTGCCAGTGTGACACTGACAAACTCACACTGTGGTTTTACTTTTAAGGAGGACCAGGGCGCGTGGTGAATGGCGCTTTCATGGTGCTGAAGGGTCACCGCTCTATTGTGAACCAGGTCCGCTTCAACCCTCACACCTACATGATTTGCTCCTCTGGTGTGGAGAAAGTCATCAAGGTTAGTAAAGGAATATCACTGATGTACCATTAAGAAATGTTTTTGTTTTATTTTCAAGAGGGCTAGCAGTGAGTTGCAACTCGTTTTTACACTGAGATGCCGCACTACTGCCGTTCCAAAGGGTCGCCAATATCCCGCCCTGGTGCTGTTTGTACAGAAAAAGCTAAGGCATAATCATGAGCCACCCTGTGAATTCAGACAGCAGGCCGGCATTCCGCCCCAGAGGTGCAACACGATGTCGCTCTTCATCAACTGTGACATAAATCTTTTGCCGGTAGTCTACAAACCAAAACAAAAATGGCAGGAGAGATAAATGCAGGTATAGCTTTGTTGGTTCTTCAAGCATTTATTTTACCTCATGCAAAATTTGTTGGAGTGGTTCTTGCTATGTGTGTGAATGTCATGGGCAATAACTGCAATGAACACATTTGTGAGATCAGGAATGCTTTGACCTGTGAGTTAGAGAGAAGCCGAGAACAGTTCGAGGCACAGAGGCATGCAGACTTGAGACGCCAGTGATAGTGTTGTGCACATGTGGTGTATTTTTTCTGTGGTACTTTTTTAATTTTCTCAAGACTTAAACTATTAAATTTAACTTTAATAAGATGGCAGGGCAACACAACCCTGCAATAAACACACACCATAATGAGAAAGAACTCAGATTGTGTTCAGGTCAGTTCACACAGCTTTATTCTTGCGTGCGCACACACACACACACACACACACACACACACACACACACCTATGGCGTCATCACAATGCAGCACTTGGTTCTGGACTGCCGGCTCACCCTTTCTACAAAGAGTGCGTCTCCCCTTTGTTTTGCCTCTGGTGCTACTAACGCGGACCAGAGGCACAGTGAAATGGCCCGCCATTCTGGCTTAGCGCCTTACACACAGAAAACAAGATGGAAGAAAGACGCACCGATCCCACCTTGAAAAAGTGTGTGAGGGGCTACTGAGAGGTAAATCTATTTACTGCATCATCAGCATCTGTAAGTGGGCTGTGACACATTAGTCTCTATACCCTCAGACAGCAGATGTGCCTTTAAGTGAGACATTGATCTCCAGTGACACCTCACAGTGCTGACTTTCCTCTGTGGAGCAGGAAATGAAATAAAGATGGATTTTCTCTATCACTGACCGAAAAACAGATGATGGCGAGCATGTCCAAAAACTGGGTCATGGAAAGATAGAAATAGCTCCACGGCTGCATCGTGTTTAAACCAGAGCCAGACTGTGATATAGTGCCAGGCTTTCAACCCTTTTAGCAGTTTAAAGTAACCTGGATCAAAGACCAGCAGCTCCATAATAGCACCAGAAAATCGGTAGTATTGGTAAAGCTTGTACTGTCACACAAGCTTGACTGGCCATCAAGATCCGTTTTATTTTGTAGTTACACTTAAATTCTAAAGTTTCCCAGCATTTACAATTTAAACACTTAAAAGCATCATGGTAAAAACCATCTCAGCGATTCTTCTTAATCTTCTAAAACAGTTTGTGTTGATGGGTCGAGGTTTTTAAGCAGTATCTGTAACCTTAAGTTTTGTTTTGCTTTTTAAACAATCATAGCACGCAGCAGCTGCGTCCCTATTTTACTAATCTTTGTCAGTGAGCGCTTTCTGAGTCACTGTCTTCTCCTGCTGCTGACCTTATGAATAAACCAGGGAGCATGTGAAGTGGGCAGGTAGTCAGTTATTGTGCTAGCCCTCACTGGAACAGAATACATGTTATTTTTCATAACCTTTACTCGTATATGAATAAGCAGTTCACTCCACTCAGTTGTTCTTTTCTATCAAATCAGCTCAGCTATTTAAGATCTGAGTTCACAGTGTTGTTAAAATGCCAGTTTTGGTAGATTAATTATGTTCTTAACATCAGCTTATTGAGGTGTTGGTGTGCATGGATGCATGCCAACTTTAATTATTCATTCTATAGCCCACAGCCTGTTTAATGACTGAGGACATACCTAACATGATACATCTTATAGGTACTTTCTTACAGCACTCATCCCCCTGACATATTGGAAGTGGTTACCACAGTGGATGTATTTGTACTGACATAGCAGGAACTCCTCCAGACATTTTTATCATAATGTAATTTTACAGTCTTGACTCAGACTGATCTTTATCAGTCAGGTTAAACTTGCTCTGTGCAGTGTATGACCAGTAGTAGTGCTGTGGAGCAGTGTATCACTGAGCACACAACCAGCATAACACACAGTGATGCTGTTCAGCATGTTGACAGTGTACGGCAGTAATGTGCAAAGAGGCACAGTGTCGTATTCCGGCAGTAGCAGTGAAGATGCAGCTAACATTGCTGTAGAATTTAAACCGTAAGAAAGATTAAGTTTCTTTTTGGTCAGGACAGTAATACATACTCTCTGTTTTCTATATTTGACATGTGATAAAGGCTTAGGTTTCAAACTGTGGGCCTCTGCACTCTCCCTTCTCACCATTCATTTTTCATATTGTCATTCTTCTGATCTGTCCCACTTGAAATCTTTAACCTCTGTTGTCTCCCTTTCCCTCCTCTGCTTATAACTGTTCACAGTTGCTGGTCCTAAACTCTGGAATGATTTACCACTGTTCATTAGACAAGCCTCTACCCTGTCTGTTTTTAAGTCTCTTTTAAAAACTCATTTATTTTCCCTGGCATTTTGATATTTGTGTTGATTTTAGTCTTTTTTTTAATTTTTTATATTGATTATATTTTATATTGTTGTTTGTGGGTTTATAATTTATAGTGTTTTATTGCAATGTACAGCACTTTGGTCCACTCTGGTTGTTTTTTAGTGCTTTATAAATAAAGCTGGTATGGTATGGTATGGTATAACTACATTCCTCCCTATTGCTCCTCTGTCTATCCAAGGTGTGGAGTCCCTACCAGCAGCCTGACAGTCTGGGTGATCTCGAGGGCCGTGTGGAGGACAAATCGCGCAGCCTCTACACCCATGAGGAGTACATCAGCCTGGTGCTCAACAGCGGCAGTGGTCTGTCCCACGACTATGTCAGCCAGTCCATCCAAGAGGACCCCCGCATGATGGCTTTCTTTGACTCACTGGTTCGTAGAGAAATTGAGGGCTGGAGCTCCGACTCGGACAGTGACCTGAGCGAGGAAGCCATAATGCAGCTTCACGCCCGTGGACGTCGTTCCACCCGGGCCACACCAACGGCTCCCTCCATTGCCTCTGCTGCAGGTCACCACAGTGACTCTGATAACTCGTCATCTTCCTCTCTGGCTGGACCTGATGCTTCAGGAGGGGAGGACCCAGCTGGGGTGGAGGGGGAGGAGCGGCTGAGGAGACGAAGCAGGCATCAACAACATCAGTCTGGCTTTCAGATGAACGAGGACTCAGACTCAAGTGAGTTTTGGCTTGACCCCATGCCCCGGCCTCGCTCCCCGAGTCCCAGGGACAACTCCACACTGTCCAGCCCCACGTCCTCCTCTTCGCTTCCTGCCGGGGCTTCCAGCTCCTCCTCATCCACTTCTAGCTCCAGCAGTGATGACGAGGAGCGGCGTAGTGCAGTAAGGCGGCGCAACGTCATGAGGAGACGACGCATGCATGTGGTTTCCAGAGCTGGAGATCGACCTGAGTCCGTACAGGCTCTGTTCTCAGCTATTGACTCCTGCAGTTACCCATCGATCTCAATCGATGACCTGTCTTCCTCCTCGTCAGCTGAGGAACAAAACTCTCTCCAAAACAAGGTCTGCACTGGTGGCACTAGAGAGGAGGAAAAATGTCTGAGCCCTTCTGACTTTGTATGTATGAGCCCAGTAATGTCCCCTGAGAGCCAGGAGAATGAGGAAGGGAGTGACAGAACTGAGATGGAAAGACACCGAACTGCCTCTCCTCAGTCACTGGACGGTCTCAGGACCGGAGGGAAAGCTGCTACAGAGCCAGCTCCAGACAGCTCAGATAGTGGAGAGCCATGTAGCAGCTCCGTGGCTCTAGACAGTAACTCCCAGAGCCGACGTAGCCCTGGAGTGAATGGCCAGCACCGGACTGTGGCACCATATGTTGGTGAGAACCGCCATGTCTCCTCAGAATCAGAGGAAGAGACTGGCGTTGCACCTGAAGACACCAGACCACGGAGAGGAAGTGTCCCGCCACAGGGCGCTCTGAAACGGACTCATGTAGGATCAGAAGAGTCTGGCTCCTCTCCCTCAGAAAAGAAGTTAAAAACATAATGACATCTTTTCATTACAGAGAGAAATCCTTTTTTTTTAAAGACTTAGTTTAGGAAGTGGGTTTTTTATGGGTTTTTACAACTCAGCTTTTTCATTTTGCGCCACCTTTTCACAGATGCACATGAACTCGCTGTCTATAAGCAGACGGCGTTAAGCAACTAAAAAAGTGTGGGTGATTTTTGTTTCAGAACAAAACAGTTGGACAGTGTCATCATTCTTTACGTCAGACACAGATAACAAAAGATGGCTAATATAAGACATAAGCTAAATATTGTTAACTGGTATTTCTGATGGACATGCTGCTCTTTGACATTCATGCCTGATCAGTTTCTCTCATGATCTGGTTTTAGCAAAAAGCTCCACTGAGGGTTTGGAGCTCTTCCAGCCTTAACAAGTAAAGGTATTAAGGAGGACAAAAGCTTTTCAGCATTTTAATTTCTGAGGTTTTGCACTGAGCACAAATCTGATCGGACTTATTCTCGTTTCTAAGCGATTCTCGGTTGAGGCTGCTTCAGGCTGCCTGAAGAATCGACTGTCTCAGAAATCCTAAGGAGCTCCATTTGTTTATTAAACTGTGCACTGAAATGATGCATTCAGTGTCTCCACCAGTTGTTTCTATCTCATTATCCAGCCCCTGGGTACCATAACAAGCAGGCTCGCTTTTGTTTTCCTGCAATTAAAAACTCATTTGTTCTCAGAACCATGACTTGTTCCTGAGGCTTCGCTGAGTTGATGGGTGAAGTGTTTACTTATTCTGTTATGTCATTTGGATACAGTCAAAATCAAAGTTGTTTTTTTTTTTTTTTTTAGAACATTTTTGTACATTTGTGTCCTCCACTACCATGTACTAAACCAGGGTGCCATGGCAACGCAGCATCAGCTCCCCTGTGAAAGTAGTGTGAGGTCCATTAAGCTGGCCAGTGTCAGCCATAATGGAAGATTTTATTTACTCAACCAAAATGCAGTCTTGATTAAAGCTGTTATTGGCAGTCTGACACTGTCAAATTGTTTGTCCATCTCCGAGGAGACCTGACATTATAGTACAAATGTCATGGGCCACTCAGAAAAAATGTAATTAAGCAGTTGACAAAACAAACTCATCACAAAGTCTGTTTTAATCGGATCACACGATCTGTTCTGCTCTGTGGTTATGGACTTAAAGATTTTTTGAGCACTTCAAGGCTAAATGGTTGAGACTGAGAGCTCACTCTGGGCACAAAAATGGTCTGACTAAACGGTATCCTGAGAATACTGTAAAAACTGAGAATCAAACTTCATCTGCAGAGGAAGACTGATTTCATTAAAAGCTGCAGAACACCTGCTAAATGGACCTTGTAGTTTGATGGTTTTGTCAACTACTGCCTCCAAGTTCAAGAATAAACGTTCACTATTAATTGAAAGAGTTGTTCTGGGTAATGTTTTATAACTTTAAGAAGTGTGTTTAAGTATTTTACAGCACCATTCCTCCAGGTAGTTTTATAAAACTCTTAATTCTGAAGTATACACTGAGTCTAGAGGGTTTTTTTTGTAAATTGTATTTTAACTATGTGGAATGTAATATATTCCTTTTTTTTTTCTTTTTTTTTTTTTAAGTTTAGTAGCATTACAGATCATTTTCTTCAGGTGGTTTAAGACTTTTTGCAGTTGATGAACTCTAAAACTATGCCCCAAAAATAATAAAACAGTCTGCAACAGTGTTCAGCAATGATGAATTTCATTCATTATCATGTCCACTGAGAATGCAGCCAGTGGAGCTAATAATGATAATGAAACTAAATTTGGATATTTACTGCTCTGAGTTGGTCAGTTTTCTGTAAATGTTCTGTAACAACATATGCAGTATCTCTGAGCGGTGGTGGATAAATTCTCAGTCGTGTCTGTTTATTTGTTTTATTAGCTAACAAGTAGTCACATTTAAAATACATTTCATCTAAAAACAATGGGACCAGTTAAATGTCAGCCATGTTTATTTTTTTAACTGAAAATACAGAGGGCATGATGTCATACAGGTGGATTTCATGAAAATAAGCTAATGGAAAAGTTCAGCATTCCTAAAAGAAGAGAGGATCTTGACCTGACCATAAGTGGACGAGTGTTTTTTCAGCAGATAACTGTTCCACACCTACTCAGATTTCCCACCAGTGTAATGATTGTCTGTGCAGCACATCACGTCATTGCTTTGAAGAAACTGCATACTCCTGTCTCCACTTGAGCAACAGCACTCCTCTCCCAGACAAAGCAGACTTGCTAGAGGGCACAACAGCAGCTGCTGGGAAAGATTACTAAAGAAAACACACCACATGGCATCACAGCCTCTCGAGCTAGTAGCGAAGTGATAATCTGAGGGTGGGCAGATGTGCATTGGAGGGTTATCCAGTTGTTCATACAGCTCTCTTGTCGGAATAATTTCCTCTGCTTCTCAGAACTTGTCTGTATGGCCATCACTTATCTGCAGGAAGTAGACACTCTTCATTTAACTCACATGCATCTCCTAGGACAAGTATTCAAATAGGGATTTTTTTATTTTTTTGTGGTTTGACTGGAGTGTGGCTGCTGGGTTGCATATGGTTTAATGATTAATTACAGGCTGCAGATGCAGAGGTGTACAAGCGAGTCAGCGTTTGTAACAGCTAACACTACAATTTCACAGCTGCCGTGTCAATCAAAATTATGTGGAGCGTTGGATTTTCTTGGAAGAATTAAATCACTTCTGCTTTTGTTACACACAAAGCTGAAGTGTCTATCGGTAGTCGCACTGAAGGACAATGGCACTGGGTAGTGACCTTACAGTACTATGGCTTTTTAAGCTTTGTTTATTCAGGGACACTAAACTGGTTATATTTGCTCTTTCTCTCCCTCAAAGGTCACAACTGGGAGGAGCTCAGTGTATTCCAACAGAACAAGCATGGGTTTAGACAGATGCATCATATTGCTTTGGAAAGGGAGGGGACACCAATTCACCTCTGTTTCTTAAAGCCCTCCAAAACCATTTTGGTCAGTCAGCTTCTTACTGACACTGCAAGAGTTTTCAGACAAAGTTGGAAAAGTTTTGTCATGTCATATGACAGTTTTGTGTTTTTGTCCTTGAATTCTGTACCGACTGCAAACTGTGCTGGGCGCGGCACGGTTAGCGTCACCACTGACAGCTGCTGAGTTTCACAACTATAACTTTTGTGGGATTGTCAAAAGACAGTAGTGTATATAGTGGATCCATTTGCACAGCCTCATTACTGAGTGTTTAATGTTGCATAGAAATAGGACCCTGCCCCAATTGAATATTGCACTTGTAATGTTGTTAGACTCGAAGTGAACAGTTAAAGAAAAGTCTCAAGTGCTGCAGAAACAGAGTTATTGTCTTTTTTATAATTCCTTGTCAAAACCTGGCACATACATGGCCCACTTTTCAACTGAGCTGCTGACAGTTCTGTCAGAGTTTTGGGTGTGTGATTCTGCATTTGTGCAATGTTGACAAAACATTTCATGTGGGAAGAACAGGAATAACGGCCTTTATTCCGACTTGGGAATGTTTCTGCATTTTCCCACAGTGGTTAGTCTTAGTGATAACCTTGGTTTCACCCACATAAATGGCCTCAATTGGCTTCGTTTGTTGTGTTATGTCTTTGTGGCAGTTTGTTACCAGATGAAAGCAGAAGCAAGCAACCTTTGCCTATAAAATGAGCCAAATCCATTTTATTACTGTTAAAGCTGGGGTTGTTTGTGACGCCGCTTGTGATTCGGATGCCTCCTCTGACTTTCAGAATTACAAGTTGGAGGGTGACATGAACTGTTTTTCCTAACTAGCTGCTTATAATCAGTTTAATTGACACTGACGTCGAACATGGCGTTATGCTAGTACCAGCTAATGTAGCCTTGAACTGCAAGCCTCAAACAGAGATGAGGAGCAGGCTACAAACATTTGGTTTCAGCTCAGCCCAGACAGATGCAGAGGCAGTTCATCAGATCTTGTGCAGCTCAAAGCTACGAAAAGCTTTATGCAACTTTTTTTTTTCTACGTCCGCACCCCCCAACACCTGTGAGCAGACTTTGATCTGTAGAATGGGTGGAGTTCCCCTTTATTTGACACCTGATCTTTTAGTCGATGCCAGACCCCTCCTATTGCTGAGTTGTATTCTAGTAAAGCAAACCTTTCCTTTTAGTTGAATAATACCATTCTTTATCCTGGGCCTGCAGTGTGTTTATTTTAGTCCCGGGTGGTGTTTTAGCTCAAGTGGTTTCACCACTAACCCAAACACATGTACAACTAGATGAGATTATCATGTTTGTTCCGCTGTATCCCATAGGAGACTCAGCTTTAACAACAAGGACAGCTATTTAAGAATTCCCCTACCAACATGACAGGAATACCTTGGACACTTGCCAGAGAGCAGACAGAGCCAAACACCATCTCTTCACATGACCCATGAGGCTTGAGCCTCTTTGCACCACAGACTCTCTACAAGATATTCCGGGTTCTGCTCAGTAGTATTATGTTGACGTCAGGTAGCAGGCCCGGGAGACATTTCCCAAAGCTGCCCAAAGCGGAGTGTGCTGCCAGAGTTCAGTGATTAATCACAAAGAGTTAATTGATGTGTTTAATATGCCATCATTTGCAGCTTTGAGAGGATGAGCTTCTTTTGGCAGCTGGCCAGTTCCTGTTGCTACTCTGTGGGTTGGGCCTCTTCCAGTGTGGTTGTGTGTTTGAATGACATAATGGACACTGTAGAAATGGAGACAAATTGTAGAAGCTCGTTAGTAAATTAAATACCAAAGTAGCAATTGCAGACCTTTTAGCCACATTAGCAGAACAGCTCCAGGACTAGTAATGTCAGTTTATCGACCACTTTAGCTCAGGCAGAAATATCACAACAACGATTGGATGGATTACCATGAAATTTTGTTTAGCCGTTTATGTTCCCCTCAGGATGAACTGTGGTGATCTCTTAGAGGCGCTGCAGCACATTTTATTGTGCTTACATGAAGTTGCACAAACATTCAATTTAAAAAAACAAAAAATGGTCAAAATTGAAGCAGCAGAGGCTGAGAAATTTTCTATAATTCAATTTGGAAGCATCTTTTATTAGTCTATCCTGCCTTTTTTTTTTTCAAACCACATAATATCAGTTTGTAAAATAGGATTTGTACAACAAATTCTATGGCTCAAGCTCATGCTGAGATTTTTAAAACTTTGGAAAGTTCATTTCACAGGAGACAATAAGCAAGTTTTCACAGGCTGTGTGGTAGCATACCCCTAAAGGATAACTAAAGTTATTATTACCTTACTGTTAGTGAGTGATGCCATTGCCTTCCATCACCCCACTGAGGCTGCTGTTGCTCTGTAGCGGATGCACCTCTGCACAGCAGTCACAGCCGACTTCCTTCAGCCGGGGACCGGGCGGTGAGCTGGCTGTCTGCTCCCTGTCCATGACATCACTTTCCCAAACATCCACCAATGGAAGTTTGTCCATATATGGAAGAGCACTCCACTTTCTCCTGCCTGTCAGGGCTGTCCCGTGTCGGCATCAGGTCGGCATCTGTCCTGCGGTGTGTGTGTGTGAGAGAGAGAGAATGAAAAGAGAGAGTCAGTTTACCTTACAAGGCAGACAGACCTGGCCATTGCTTCACATGTTTACAGAGGCTGCGTTGTGACTGGTTGTGACTGGTTGTGACTCACTTTTCTTTCTGAATGACTTGAAACCTTCTGCGCACGAGTACAGTGCTACTGTGGATAGATTAGGCTACTAAGCAGGCTGACCGGGCAAAGGCCCAGGGGTCCAAGCATCAGTGGTCACCTAGAGCTCACCCACAAAATATCCCAGAAAGAGGGGGAAAACAGCTGGAATGAGACGAAACAACCACAAAGAGATGAAACGTCCACCAAGACACACTAAACAACTGCAAGGAGATGCAAAACAGCTACAAAATGACAACACTCAAGACGACCTCGATGAGATAAAAAACAAAAGGCTTTTTACAAGGCTGCGCCCAAGTTCATCAGTGCTGCTGCATACTATGGGTTACCATTAGTATGCAGTTTACAGAACCCTTTTCTAGCTGTTTATTTATATTTATTGATTTATCTATAACAGCTTTGCCTTTAATTTAGAAATTTTATTTCAAAATATAATTTTATACAATGCAAAATACAAAAGCATACCAGACCGTAAAAATACTCTTAAGTAAAAGTCATGTATTCAAAATGTTGCTTAAGTAAAAGTATATAAGTGGAAACTACATACTTGAAGTACCAAAAGTAAAAGTACTTATTATGCAAATGGCACATTTCACATTAATGCATATCCTGTTATTGGATTTTTATTATTGATGCTTTTTTATTTTTGTCACTTTAATGTTGCAGCAGGTAAAGGTGGAGCTAATGTTAACTACCCTGTGTACTTATAATTGGAAGTACTTTTCATACTTCTGGGTAGTTATGAATTTTACCACAGAGGATCAGAAAGTCTTAATAATATGTCATAATGCATTTCTTTATTATATTTTTCATCTATTTTTATTCTGAATCAAAGTAATCACAGCTGTCAAATAAATGTAGTGGAGTAAAAAAGTAGCTACAACGTTTCCCTCTGAAATGTAGTGGATTTAAATGTATAAAGTATCATAATGTGGAAATACTAAGTACCCCACAAATACTTCAGTAAATGTAGCTACCTATCTCCATAATTAAAAGAGTACTCAAATTTGTACTTAAGTGCAGTACTTGAGTAGTAAATGTACTAAATTACATTACACCATTGCTTTTACTAAACTTAGAATGCAGGACTTTTAGTTTCTTACTTTAATTAGCCTATGTAAAGATCTAATAATTAAAAACTCAGCCAAAACAAGCAACCCGCTTCGTGAGGGAATGCTGAAAACAGTTATCTAGTTCGCTCAAATTCTCCAGTTTTAGAGCTTTAGTTACATAGTTTAAAGTAGCGCGTCACACTTGTTTTATGCTAATTACAGTCTGAAGTGTCCTCGCAGTCAAACACACGGATGTTTGGATCAACCTACTGCCGTGGGTATAAACCCTCAGCACTGACAGCCCAACCGACCAATCCGCTTCAGGGAGGCGGGATCTGCAGCCCAGAGACGTCCAATCAGATTCCTCGGTCGGTTATCGATTCAATTTGTCTGAAGCAAAGTTTTTGCGTCTGTCGCTCCTTCGACAGTAGAACTGCCTACCGCTGAGTACTCCCGCTGGGCAAAAACAGAGCAGATAGCGGAAGAAAAGAGGCATAGTCGGAGGGGGGAGAGCGAGCGAGAGAGAGAGAGAGAGAGAACGAGTGAGAGGGAAGCCGGGGGTGGACCGTTAATTTCATCCACACACCGTCTTGAATGCGTGGAGGAGAGTAGACTGAGATACTGCTGTAAAACATCACCTCGCCTAGGACCGGGGGACGTACCAGAGAAGCACACACAGCGTCTATATATAAAGCTTTAAAAATACATGCATAACATGGATCACCTTTATGATGAAGAAGGTAATTACATGCAACAAGAAGACGACTGGGATCGAGATCTCCTCTTGGATCCTGCATGGGAGAAGCAGCAAAGAAAGGTGAGAGACTGACTTCCTTCTCCCTCCGGTGTAAAGGTGCGGAAGTGGGGTTGTCGCTTGTCATAATAATAATAATAGGCTGTTAAAGCTAATTGTTACTAATAAATAGGCTGGATGTGCAGTGTGCGGTTCGATACTTTGATTGTTTGGTCAGCACAGCCAGGAGGCGACCGATAAACACAGAACAACCAAGTGACATCTGTTTAATTATCGGACTTATTGTCTCTTTGCTAATCACCTGTGCGGCTCTCGCAGCTACTTTTATCAGGAGTACGGTTGTGTTCCCAAACTTTTCTCGCCTCCGGATCTCACTCACACTCGCACATATGCTGTATAGCGTTGTGAAATGTCCTGTAGTCACATGCAGGC